TGGGAAGTCAGTGGAAGACAAATACTTTATTGAGCTTCATGATTTTGGGGGTTTTGCTTTGACTATACCTTTAACTCTGTCAACTTGTACAGGTTGTTTGACCTCTTAGGATCCCCATGTGTCATTTACGAAGACTGAACAAAATGTTCTCAGTTATGTTTATTGAAGTTCTATACCCATAAAGATTTTAACAATTATAAACTTTAGTGACAGTGGATGCTATCAATAATTATCAAGACCTACGCATTTCAGTGTAAGAATTTAGAAGGAAAGATTATTTGAATGCTGTGAGTTTTCAATTAGTATCTTTAACTCATAAGCTCTTAGGGGTTATTGCTGCTTTTCTGTTTTCAGGAACTGCAAGCGAAATATGCTTAATGTTTGTGATGCTAAGGTTACAACCTAAAATAAATTACCAGAAACGCTACTCCACGCTGTGGAATTGTAAACATTGTATTTGGTATTTAATTCACATGGCATACAGTCTGTGATTATTGACTATATGAATGGCTTTAATGCAGGCATGATTATGGTCATAGCAGGTTCATTTCATCTTATTGTGTTTTTTTTCTCTGCTGCCATATTTTTGTAACAAGAGAAATTATTAGAGGTTTTCAGGGCTTTAGAGGAATGACTTTACATGACTTTTATTTACTTGCATCTGTAGTTGATTCCTGAATATATTTGAATCAATCCTTTCTAGACATAATTTTGATATTACATTAAAATTTATTACTCTATTACATTGGTTTTTAAGTTGAAATGTCTTTCAATTGTCATTACTTATCTAAATAAAAATTATTCCTATGTTGGGGAATATGTATATGAAATTTTATTCCTGAACTTTATTCTTTCAAAGTTATCTGAATGATTGTGCGTTCTATTTTAATTATGTACTATAGATAGACATACAGAATTTCTAGCTAAATGCCCAGTGAGATGGCTCAGTGGGTAAAGGCAGTTGCCAGAAAGCCTAACAAATTGATCTTGTTCCCTGGTGGAAAACAACCAACTTTCAAGAGTTATCCTCTGAATTCCACATTCTTGCCATGGTGTGCACGTGTATGTGCTTGTGTGTGCGTGTGTGTCTGTGTGTATGTATGCATGTACTCATATACTCACAAATAAATGTGGTAAAATGAAGTTCTAGTTCAACAAAGACCTGTTAAGCACTGAGATGCTAGATATTATATTTGTATTTGTATTTCCAAATAAAATTTGCCCTTTAGAATTCTCACCGTCATTTGAATCAATGTGTATTTTATACAAATTTCATCCCAAAGTGACAGAGATGCAGGCAAGATATATACTCATTTATTCTAGTATCCAAACTAAATAGTAAAATAAAAGCATACTCCGTTCTCTAAACTGTTATAATTGAAAAAAATGTTTATATCGGTACCTAGCATTTCACACAATAAAACTTTACTCTTTTCAATGTAACTGATAGTAAACCTGAGTAATTTAAATTATGTGTGTATTAAATCATATATTTCACATGTATGCCATTTGCTGATTCCTTAATTTATTGTGGTTTTATATTTTATAATCTTTGTTATTAATATTCATGTATAGAAATGAAAAGTAGAAGTTGCTTTTAACCTAGTGAGCCTGAGTTTTTTTTGTTTTTGTTTTAACAAGGTCAGATGGATTAGAATCCTATTTAGTAAACATAAAGATGTTTCCATTTACTCACTCCAGTATATTCTGAAGAATACTGAACAAAGAGAGGGAGAGGGAGAGGGACAATTATCTGTAAAAACGAAAATATTGGGTGTGCTATGTAGTTAATGTAAGACTTTCCCATCTCTTACCTTTCCACAGGGTTCGTGTTTAAATCACTTGATTCATTTCCATTTAAAATATAAGAGGTTATACTTTATGTATTAGTCTAGTATGTCAGATAAGTTCAGAGATAATGAATGAATGTTATGTCTTATTATCGGTTAATCAAATGAGGCTATTTTGTAACTTCTCTAAAGTGCTTTAATATCATATTATGCCAAACATATTTTTCCAGATCTTCCTTTACCCCTTAGAATTTTCATATTAAGATAGACAAGCTGATTCTCAAGAACATATCTGGGTGGTACTCCATAATCTAACATTACAAACTATTAGTTATATTAATTCATATTTGACATTAATATAAACTATCCAGTAGAAAAATAACCTAAAATCATTTATATTTAAATTGTTCTTCATCATAACTAACCTTTTCTGACTGGAGAGATGGCTCACTGTTATTCAGTCATTAATCCTTTGTCACAATCTAGGGTAGATTATGACAATCCAATAAAATAGCCAGAGTACTCATTGTCATTGTATATTTCCTTAGATTTATTTGAGTGAGTGCTGAATCAAGTCACTGGACCAGCATCTTATTTTATTTGACACATATTGACACACATACTTATTCTTTGCTTTTAGAACTAAAGATGTGAAATCCTTTGAATTGAATATAGAAAAAAGAAAATTGCCCTTTATGAAGTGGTTACCAGTCATCTTCTTGATATTAGTAGGACTTCCCTTTTGTTACTAAAATTTCCATAAGCTTTTGAAGAAGGGCTTATTCTAGACAATATTTTAAATTGTCAAACACTCACATATGTGATTTAATTTTATATGTTTTTAATTGTGTTATCTAATACAAATCTAACACAGACAAAACAATACAAAGGGAAGTCAATTAGAAACAAGTTAATAAGTAATAATCAAAATAAACACAATAATTAAGAATTTAGATCATTCTGCAAAATCAGCAACCATAACTGTTTTTTAGCCTAATTCTCACATGTGTTCAGTGGCTATAATAATACCTACTTCGGGAAGTTAGAAGGATATTGAAATTTAATATGAAGTTGTTTTCATTGTGCCAAACATTTGTAGGCAATCTATATCTAATTTCTGCTTGCAATAATATCAGATAATAATTACAATATATCTCTTCTCTTATTGTTTTTCTAAAATACAGTCTTGCATAGTGTTCAATATGATTGAGCTCTAAAATACTAATATTAATGTAAACCTGGTGTGATGGTTCAAAACTGTATTGCAAGCACAGTGGAGGCTGACACAGAAAAAAGGATTCATTTTAGCTCACAGCTCTAGGTTCCAGTAGGGAAAGTCACAGCAGCTACAGTTTGATGGAGCTGGTAATACCGCATCCATAATCTGAAACAGCAATGAATGCATATATGTCATTGCTCAGCTAGTTTTTCCTATTTCCAAACAGTCCAGGATCTCCTGCCTAGGGAATATTCCTAGCCATAATCAGTAGGTCATTCCACTTAATTAATGTAACTGAGATAATCTTCACAAGCATACCTTTAGGCCAACATCCTAGGTGATTTTAGATTGTCAAGTTGACAATTGACACTAACCATCAATTGTGAGTAAATGTTTATCAAAGTAAATACTATCCTTGTATCCAAAGCACTGAGACCTTAATATCAGTAATAAGGAGAGGAATAAACTTGCTATGACTGCTGTGTACCAGTGTGATTGTTGTTTATTGTGAGATGGTCATGGAATTAAGAATATTGTCTTAATTCATCTCATGTGTAAGAACTGAGGACTTTATAGAAAGAAAAACAATAGATAAGCATGTAAGTATTTGTTTATTATCTTTGATAGTGGGGTATTTTAAATATGTATTATCATATTATAAATTATAAACTTTATAAGGCAGTCTTCCTTGTATTATTTAATTTTCTTATTTGAAGTAAACAGCTTCACGGATTATAACTTGCTCACAGACAAAGACATTGTCAATGTGATAATTACATACATCTGTCCTCATATCAGGCCCGTATTTTTTTCCTCTGGAAATTGATGTTATGTGAGTAATGTCTGTCTTTAGGAGCTGATAACCACTATTAAAGTGCAGTTTTGAAAAACAGATGCAAAAATCATGAGTCCCATTACAGAAGCAAATTTAGCCTGACAGTTTCTGTAGCAAAGGGAAGCTAAACCCAGTGAGACAAAGAGGATCATTACCTTCCTGGAAGACTAATGCAGTCACCACAGAACAAGCAAAACCTAGGGGTGATAGAATCTTGCATCTTGCTTCCCACAAAACAGTAACTCCTCCAGTAAAGAAAAAAACTGCTGATTTGATCTTCTCCTCATTCAGATCAGATAAGGTATATTTGCAATGTTAAGATGTGAGTGGTAAGTTGGGTACAGAGAAATGTTAGAGATGACTGGAATATAAATGCTCCCTGCCTCAGAAGGGTTCAGAATAAGTTAAGTTTCTGACTGGTCATCGAAAGGTGAAGAAACAGATTGAGTTTGTTGCAAATTTTTCCTGATGGAAGTAGGAAGTTTTATACAAAGGTTAACTTGATCCAGAAAGTCATGACCAATGTAAGAGGAATTATCCAAACAAGTGATACATCTTTCAAGAAACTTGATCATTTTTTAAACTTTTCTTATCATTAAATAAAAGGATCCAGATTTTAATATTTTTTAGAATTTAGATCAATACAGTTTGGATTAAATTAAACCGCAATATCAAGAGGTTCTCAGTTTATCAAAATTGTTGGGTAATATGGTGCATCAAATAATATAAATAATACATAACTATAACTTGGATTAACACCCAGAAATAGAGTTCATGTATCCTTAACTTTAAAAATATAGACAGATACATTTTGTGTATTATGTGTACCTGGTGACCTTTTGTATAAGAATTTTTAAAAATTCAAGTACTGGTTGACATTCTTCCACTTTATGTTTTCCTCCTTAAAAAGTTATAATAGGGGCTGCAGAGATGGCTCCAAGAATAAGAGTGAGTTTAGTTTGCAGTACCCACACTGAGTAGCTCACAGCTGCCTGTAATCCAGCTCTAGAGTCATCTGATGCCTCTGAGGGATCGGCACTAATGTTCACACAGCCATATAATAAAAAATAAAGTGAAACGTTTAAAATTACAATAAATGGTGATTTGTATGTTACTTATAAATATGTTTACCATAACTTTTCTTTTTCACTTTCAGTGTAAAACTCTTTCTGGAGTCTGTGACCACATCATATCCCTGTCATCAGATCCTCTGGTTTCACAGTCTGCTCACCTAGAAGTGATTCAGCTGGCAAATATTAAGCCAAGTGAAGGGCTGGTAAGGGATAGCATGTTTATCAAAGCCATCATCTATCTGCACACAGCAAATGATAGGGGCAAAGAGGCAACGTTCAAATGTAGAAATCTAGGAATTTCCACAGATACTCACCCTTCTTTTCTTTTCATTTCCTGTAGAGGTGAGGGTAGTAGGAGTGTGTCATAAAAACCACCTTTAAAAGAAACCAATAAAAAGAGAGATGCTAAAGGTAATTTCTAAATTATCCTATTTAATTGGGTAGTCAGTGGTTGCATTCTTTCACCAATTAAAATTCCTTAGCTTAAGGACATAAGAGTTTTACAATAAGCACAGTGTTACCTACCATTCAAGTAGGTGTTTTCTATGTTTGTTTTACTTTGATTTATTCTGATTTTAATAGATCTTCCTTCCCGTTGAGTAAGTAGTTAAAGAAAAGTCACATTTTTGTGTGTGGGTCCATGTGTAGTGTATTGTATATGTTTGTCTGGGCAGGCATGCCTATTAACAACATGTGGGAGCCAGGATTTAACATTGAGCATCCTCTTCAATTGTTCTCTCCATTATTGAGACAAGAGTAACTTACTAAACCTGGAGCTCAGTAGACTAACTAACTTACTAGTCTGACCAGCCAGCAAGCTCCCCAATACCTCCTGTTGCTCCCAGCACTGGGAGAATAGGTAAGTTCCACTATGCCTGACATTCTGTGTGGTGGCTGGGGATCTGAACTCAGGTCTTTATTTGTACTTATCAGGTATTTTACCCACTGAGCCTTCTCCCCAGATATTATAATGTATAAGAATTTCATTCCTCACATCTCTTTTTATAAGAATTGAATAAGTAACTGGATAGTGCTACCACTAGGATAACATTCATGAAATGCATTGATAATTTTTATGATGTTAATAGTTTGTTCAGCTGGCTAAAAATATCTTAATTATAAATTTAACTCAAGGGAGAGCTTTTTAAATATAACTGTAGAAAGCAAGTATATAAAATTGATATGGATGAGAAAGACACAGACATACTAAACAGAAATGGCTGGAATGCATTTATCCACAATGTACCTATTATAATATAATATTGTTTTATCCTATGGTGTTCTGAACCTTCTCTCCATAGATAAAGATATTCTAGAAAATAGAAATCATGGAAACAAGCATATTCATAATGAGCTCTAAGTAATTTTATGTTTTTTCACACACGTGTATGTATGTCTTTAGAGTTATGTTTGTAATTATTTCAGAGAAGAAAGCGTTTATTGACATTTAGTTTCAGGTTGTTCCTGTATTCTATACAGCGACTTTTCTCCTGCTAGTGACAAATTGACTCTAGTTGTTCATAGTTTCTAGTGTTTTTGTCTGTCTGTCTGTCTGTCTGTCTGTCTGTCTGTCTGTCTGTCTGGTTGGTTGCCTGGTTGGTTGGTTTGCTTTGGGGTTTTTTGATTTTATAAGTGTTTCCTTGAAAAGATGAAAATCAAGTATAGCATCCTGTTTACATGACATCCTACTAAGTTGTAAGTACTGTATCTAATATTGGCTTATTTTAAAAGCTTATTTATAGTACTTTTAGGTTTATATGAAGAAAGCTTTATGATTTAGAATTCTCATTACAGCACTTCCCCCTTTATCTGAAAATTTTTCCTGTGGTTTCAACTAACATGATCACCTGCAGTCCTAAAATATTAAATGAAAATTCCAGAAACAATTATTAAATCTGAAATTGCATACAATTTTGAATAGTATTAGTAAATTTCATACCAACCTCCCTGGGACATGCATAATCCTTTTGTCCAGCTTAGCCAAACTATACATGATACCTACTCATTATCTCTTTAATAACTCTTGAGGTTATGAGATTGACAGTCATGACATTGCTAGAGCTTGTATTCAATCAACTCTTATTTAACTTACAAATAACCCAATGTGTACAAATAGTGGTGCTTACAAACCAGATATGCTAAGAAGAAGTCATAAAATGATTCCTATAACTGACAAATTGAAAATTATATTTATATAACCATGATTTCAGCATATAAGAGTTGTTATATAATAATATATAATCTATACACATTTATATAACCATTATGTTATATAATAATACATTATATATAATTACATTTATATAACCATTATTTCAGCATATAATCATAATTGTTCTATTTTATTAATTTTTCAAGACAGGGTTTCTCTGTCCTGGAACTCACTATGTAGACTAGGCTCACCTAGAACTCATAGAGATCGTATTGTCTCTGACTCACAAGTGCTGGGATTAAAAGTGTGTGCCACCACTGCCTAGCTATTAATCATTTTTAATCTCATTTAATTTGTAAATGAAAATTCATCATTATTATGTTTGTGTAAGAAAAACAGTACACACATATAGACATACTATGTTTGATTCTATTCATACTCCCAGATATATCGTAGGCTTTTTGAACATATCTCTATATGAATGGATCACTTTCTCCTCAATGGTTGTACTCCTTTTGATTACCTTTATCAAAGTAATTATTTTGAAGATAAAACACCCTCAGATGTAAGATACTGAGTATTCTTCTTTCAGTTATTGTCAATGTAAGATGTTCTTAGCATAATGTGTGCAGTAAAAAATTAGGGAACTAATACAACACTATATTAGTTTAGAATTTGCAAATCTGGAATAAAATTATTCACACAAAACATGAGAGAAGTGTTAACTTCTGTGGCCTTGATTTTGTCACAGAGAAAACATAGGGACAAGAGTACATCAAAGATGTTCTCTGAGCTTCATGACGCTATGATTCTAAAGAGTATTATTTGAATGCAACCACATAATTGCACTAAAATCATGGGGAACATTAGGCATGTGAAGTGAGATAAAACTAATTGATGGACTTTATGAACAATTTATTTTCTCTATGAAAATTTAGCTCCTGGAGAGATCTTTTTAACTTAAGGTAGATCTGTATCTACTTTTGAAATGGACTTAAATTTAAAGTGGCAAGAACCAAGCATTTAAGTAGGAAAGGAAAAAATGTAGAAGTTATGATAGGTATTAAACATGCTTTCTACTTGCCTTTTATTTTCCTCACAGCCCGACAGAATAAGTACTAATTTTCTCATTTTTGCAAATAAGAAGAGAACCACTGATTTTTACTGATTGCTTTGCATTAAATAATAACCAATAGAGGCAGGTATTTATGAGGTGAAGCTAAATAAAATATATCTGGCAAATATTTTTTTCATTATCTTATATCCAAATTTGGGAATGGCTGAAGGGAGGTATGAGCAGCTTAAGAGGATAATCCTGAATTTGAATTTGTATAAAGAACTTAATTTTTAAAGGACAGCAGGCAATATTTCAACTGAATTGATATTTCACAGACAAAGAAAAACCTAAAATGTTGAGTATTAATTGAAATAATTAAGAGTAAACCTCTTTCTAATGATTCATATCAAGTTTGCAAAAGATTAGAGGCTTTACATGACTCATCCAAGTGCTATTTTAAAATGCACTCACTTTTAAGTAACCTTAGCTGACGGTTAAAATAAATCGATTTATGAATTTGACTAACATTTTGTAAGTGCTTAACCATGGGAAATGTCTAAAAGGCAAATGCAAGAGGAGAGACTGCAAACAAGTGTGCTTAGTTGTGATTAAGCCATGTGACTTGCCTTTAAAAACAATGATTAGCAGAAAATTTTGAAATGTGGAAATGAATTCTATTAAAACATTTAAAAGCTGAATGACAGACAAGAGGTGATGAGTTGAATAGATGGGAGGGGCCTCAAGGCATCCTTCTGGAAACCTGGCTTCAGGCTTCCTTCTCTTGTGAAGTGCTTGAACTACCTGCAAATGTGCCTTGTTTTACCATCACGACTGTTATTGCTTAGCTGGTACTTGGAGATGAAGTGAATCAAACATCATCTTAGCATGCTGAGCAAGGGAAAGGAAGCTGTTCAAATCAACGCCAGAATTAACTGTTTTTCCCCAAAAGAAAAAAATAAGAGAGATGGTTTTAATAGATTATAAGACCAATGTTCGTCACATTTCCAGAAAAACAATGGTATTTGAATGCTGTGTCCTCCTGTTTGACACTTTCTCAGAGAGGAGCAATAATGGGGAATATTCTCTGTGAACTCTTTACCATCTTTTGGTTCCCAACTCTTGGACATTTTTTCTAACTAGTTCTAAGGAGAGAAGGATATATAAATCCATTTTCATTATTAAAAGAAGTTATAACAAATGATTTATTGACATTAGAAATGATGATAAACAAATAATACTTATTCTTGTTCCTTTTAAAATCATGCTTTCTGTTCCTTTGCTCATGATTGTGAAAAGGTTTTAGAGTTGAACTCTATTTATCTATATCAAATCTTAATTGTTTATTGTTGTTGTTTTGAGGCGGGGTCTCTCTGTATATCCCTGGCTGTCCTGGAACTCAATATGAGACCAGGTTGACCTCTGCCTTTCAAATGTTGGGATTAAAGACTTGCACCATCATTCCCAATGCTAACTTTATGTAATTATTTACCTTACCTTAATCTGAAAATAACTTTATAGATTATAAAGGTGTTATTATCTTACCAATGATTTAATCCTCTGCCTACTAAATACTTTAAGTTAAAATTGTGATTTCTTTTAAAATATACTAGTTTCTGCAGTAGTTACACATAAATATTATTTCCTGAAACATAGATTTCCATAATTTTCATTATCCATGGAGTTGGGTTTCTTTTCTGAACACTTTTATTAGTATACTAGATGTTCTAGTATACCTTCCTAGAACCATTTAAAACTCTTGTCAAATACCAGTAATCATAATCAATGTACCTTGTATTGAAAACTTTGTAGAAATATAATTAACCTCTACTTAACATTACCAAAGATGACATTAAAATACGTTTGTAAACTATCCAGTGTCAAATGTAGGTACTTTTTCAAACTACATTATGTATACTCCATATGTGGTAAGGTTATTTTTAGACTTTTAGACTAGGTTTCAACAGTTAGGTGTGTATGTAGTTCATTGGAAGAGAGCTTATCTTTCATGAGTGAGGCCTGTGACTTGATCCCTGGGCCTGTCAGAAAATAATATACATTAATTACTGGGTGTTTTTTTTGCTTTAATTTTTTACAATGTCCAGGTATTGTGTTTTAATGAGAAAATTGCATTAACCTTCTCGTAAAAGATTCCGAAATCAGAAATTCAGTGGTTGAGAGTGTATTTGGATTCAGACAAGAAACCTGACTTCACCACCTTAGATTTGCTCTCTAGGCATTCTGTGACTCGGTTTCCTTACCTCCAAAGCAGTGTCAATGACAGTTACACCACATAAACCTTTGTGAAATAAGCATTAGTTACTTAAAAACATGCCCAAGCACATTATAATAGTTACTAGTGGTGATGGAGATATAGGTAGATAGATAGATAGATAGATAGATAGATAGATAGATAGATAGATAGAGGATGATTGTTTTCTAGTCCAAATAATATGTTTTATTTCTTTTGCTGTCATTTCCCACTTTAATTTGTCACTACCTTTTAGTGGAAAACTTTTAAAAAATGTAGTATTTGCCTCTTACAAATAGTATTTAAGATCTTTTATTGATTTGATAAAATCTTGCTAATAGGGTAGAAATGTCTCTCCTAAGATTTATAACATTTGCTTTCCATAAATAATGGGATAAATATTAATTTAAAAGTGTGTATGTCATACTCTCTAACCAGCATAAGTTTGAATATTACTATATTGTTAGAGCCAAAAATGACTAGCCAATTTGTCAGGTAATTTCTATGTATACTTTTGTTTGGGCTATTACTTATTATTCTATTAAACTGTGAACTTCCATTTAAGAAACTAGAGTTCACTGGCAAACAACCTTCATTGTAAAATACATTCATATCATTTCCCTTTTAAAGCATCAGGCTCAGCAGTTTTTTGAACTATTAGCCTTTTAATATATGATATTTTGAAATGACTTTTGAAAATAAAATAGCTACCCAGTCATTTCTTCATCCTTCCATACAATTAACTCTCCTGCTTCATTTTTCATTTTTGTTTTCATTGGAACCTCAGGTATATTTGGGTGTCTGGATAAAGTAAACATGATAAAATAATATTGTAGATTTATTTCATTACATGAATCTTAAATGGAAACTTTTCTGCAAATGTATTGTTGGTTACTGTTAAATCTCTTGTATATCAGATATATAAATCTTGTATATCAGGAAAATAACAAAATACTACAAAATAAAATACAGGATGCTACACTATAACAAAACAAAATTTGCAGAAGTAAGATTTTATTACTGTTTCACTCCAGCTAATTTCAGATAGACTATCTCTGTTGATGCCTACTTTTAGCAAGTATAATAGGCTAATAACATATACAAAAAATGAATTTCCAATTATGATCTTTATTTTGCCACTGGATATACAGTATAGATTTTAAAAGAATGAGCTATGTTTATGAAATTGAGATACCATGCTGAATTTTTTGTCTTTAATTTTATTTAAATTACCAAGTAGTTACTTCATTGGATGTAAGCTTCTTTAGACAACCTTTAGAAACCTGAACATTCACTTAGTAACTTCTTGCCCGTTTTAAGGCTGCATTGTTAACTCATGAATAAAATTATATCATATTATATTTGAAAACATGTCTGTTGTTTCACTTTTTCCTGATCCTATCTTTTTCTTAGGGTATGTATATTAAATCCACATATGATGGCCTCCATGTAATTACTGGAACCACAGAAAACGTAAGTATTAAAACATTTCCAATTTGAATATGTATATATTTCACATGATTGACGCTAAATGTTGACTCCAAGAACATATCAAAAACTACATAGTAAATTAGTAGATTCTGGATACATTGGAATTTTACTCATTTTGTTTAGAGAAGTTCAGATTTCTTTTTTAGGCCAGAGAATTATCTTTGTTAAGTACTTTCTGACTCATGACAAGGTATTGTGACAAATAATCTGCTTCCATCTGTCAATTAGTTTAGTTATTTTAAGAAACTTAACTGTTGTGAGAAACATCTAATCAGCCAGGCTTTCTGGACACTTGCAGCATAACTAAGTTCAATGCAGTGGGGCTATTGCTGCATGGTTTTACCAGTAAGATTCCTCCACTGGGAGCATCAGCTTACTTTGTGAGTTTGTTAAAAATCTAAATTCTAAGATTCTTCCACAGACCCAGAATCCTAGGAACATCCTTCCTTTATGAAATGATGGTAGCAGGTGTTCTGACTATAAATTGGGAAAAGATTATCAGCAGTATATACCTCACTAGGTTGTAAAAATCAAATAAGCAAGTTAAGGATAATGCCAAACAGAACTATATAGCTATGCCTTAAAAAGAGAAATATAACTATATTAAGTCATTAACATGATTAGCGTAATGGAAATTGAGTAATAGAAAACCATTAATTATCCCAGATTTCTCTTCTTGTCTTTCGTAAGCAGGTGATAAACTTTGATTTTGTTGTTATTTTCCTTTAGAGATTCAGACAAATTGTATGTTTATGTTGTATTCCTTTGTAGAATACTGTGGTGGAATTAAGTTCATTTCAGTTATCATTGATCTCAATGTTTTACCAAAATTTTCTTTTTCGAAATCACTGCTTTCTGCATTTAATTCCCCTATTAACTCTAATTAATTACTGATGTAACTTTTTGGTTTCTTGTTGGATGTGAAACACTGTAGGTGAATGTTGTAGCACCTTCATATTTGATATTAATAATGAACATAATGAAAATCAATAAAACGCATGTTGTGAAATATTTCCTAGTTTGAAATTCAGTAAGCACTAACTACACTGTTGCCACCATTCATTAGATTATTCATGTACTCCCTGGTCATTTAAGAAGCCCATTTACCTGACATTTGTGAATGCTGTGCTTCATATACTTTACTTACTCTGTGAAACTTGGTAAATAGTTATATGATGCAAGGAACATTTGAATCTGGGCATGTTTCACATATTAATACATTCATAGTTCATACTTTGATCATTTTTCTCCTGATAATATTTTAATATTTTGGAACCCTACTTAATTTGTAATTAGAAGTTCTGTGTTGAGTGAAGCCAATCACTAAAGTTGGTAAATTTTATTTTTTCTTTGCTGTACCCTAGTTCTTTGTTTGGTTTTTTTATGTTTGAAGTGAGGAATTAGGGGAAGTGATTCCTGAGATACTATTCCACAATGAAAGTCTATAATTTGTATGGCTTACTCTGATTTTTTACTTTCTAGACCAGACTAGTTTCTTCTTTTCTTTTTTTAAAGCTTTATGTGGATATGATATTTTTAACATCTTGACCAGAGGCATTTACTAGATTTTTCTCCCATTCCTCTTTAAAAAGAAAAAAAGAGAAAAGATCAGTTTTCAGTTTTGAGCCAAATGATAAAAGTTACTAGCACTATTGCAGTAGTGATTTATAATCCTTTCAGAATTGTTACATGATACTTACTGGTCTGATATGGAAAAATTGCCACCTACTAAAGATACTTTGTGATACACTGACTTTTTTTTAGAATAGGGTTCATATCTCAGAAGAATCTACCTCCCTAATTGTTTTCTTAGTTCATTCAATAATGTACTTTTTGGAATATTATTTTGAATTTTAGCCTATGATAAATTTTTTATAGGCTATATCTTTTGTTCTAGTGAGATCATATAATTTGAAGCCTTCCATGTTTTCAAAATAATTAAAAGTTGGAAATGAATTTTTAAAAAGTAACTGACCTGAAAATATGGCTAAGTTTGTGCTAGAGTGCTTGGAATACAAACATGAGGACCTGAATTTGGATTCCAAGCGCCCGCATAACAGCCAGCTACCTCAGAAGGCCTCTGGTGCCAGGGGAGCACATAGGTAGGCCCGTCAGTATAGCTAATCCATGAGCTCCAGTTCACCTAGAGAAACTGTCCCAAAATTAAGGTGGTGGTGCCACCAAGAGGACTCGTCAGTCGATCTCTGGAACCAGTACAGTAAATGAAGAGAACTGACTCCTTAAGGTTGTCTGCTGAATTCCATAGCCATGCTGTGGCTTCTGTACTGCCCCACTACACAAACACATACTACATAAATATAAAAATAAAAAATTCAGTGGTGTATAAGATGGATCAGCGGGTAAAGGTACATAATACAAAGCATGATGATCTGTCTTCTGTCCCTGGAAGTCACATAATAGAAGGAAATAACTGACTCCCTAGATTTGGTCTCTGATTGCCATACATGCCACCAAGATACAAGCTTGCCCACATACAAATTAAGTAAATACATATATTTTAAGAAGAAAGAATAAATAAGGTAGTGAAGCAATTTGTGGCCTAGATACATACACATACATGAACACGAATGGGGACACACACACACACAAATAACACAAAATCACTTTTAAATTACATCACATTCATGGGTCTCAAAGATAAGAATTTATTTTCTGGGTTCTGTCACAACACTATGTTTCTTTATTTTTTTTAATAGATGCTACTGAGTAATCTCAGAACACAAGCAAATCTATTACATTAATAGATTAATATGTTTTATAAAAATCCATCTGTGTAGTCAGTATACAAGACCATATTGCCACATAAAGATGCCTGAAATGCATATAATTATTAATCAATATTAACTAGAAAAATAAGGCTGCAAAATCTATTACAAGACATGGAGAATTAAAAAAATTCTGTCACAAATCTCGTTTTAGTTTTCTTTATATATTGTAAAACTTACAAATTACTAGGTTGGCTTTATTTATTTTTGTTTTTAATTTCATATTAAGTAAGTGAAATGATGAAATTGTTATGTACTGTAGACATGTTGCCATTTTGTCTAATTTAGTGTGGTTTTTCAACCAATTGTATTACAGGGTATGAAACAAACAGCATGATCTTGTAATTAGATACTTGGAGAGAATGTTATATAATGAAGGCTTGACCTAATTGCTGCATGTGGTTTAATTTTCTGTTCTGTATTATTCTGGATTGGTTTTATAAATAGTGAAACAAATTATAAACTTAATTATCCAGCTTCAAATTTTAATGCTTATTATATGCATATACCTGAAAATAGTGATCTGTTTGCATTAATATGGATTATTTATATTAAATGCGACAGGCCTAACTAAAACTCTTAGTATTGTGAAATATACATACATATTTTTACTTTTGCTTTTATTGAAAATATTTTTGTACAGCGTATTTCATACAGTATATCAGTTTCCCTTCCTAGTCTCCTCTCAGATCCTCCCTACACTTCCAACTCCACACCTTCTGTTTTTCTCTCTCAGTGTTTGTTGTTTCTTTCTTTGTTTTGTTTTAATTTGCCTGTTTGTGAAATATATCTTCAGAAAAGTTGCATAGTAGTGTTTAGCACAGTTTTCTGGATTAAGTTTGCCAAGTTTAATAGCAATTATTATGATTCTTTAATGCTTTCAGAAAGATGTTATTGTTTTCCAATGTAAATATGTATGTATGATTTCATATTTGTTTCATCAGTGGCTATACACAGAATGCAAGCCATGTTTTAATGATCAGTAAGCACATTATAGTAATTACCTGAAAATTATGATTAATTTAAGATCTAATTAAAGAGATGAATTTTTGTAATGTCCCCAGAAGAAAAAAAGCTGATAAACCTTATGTTATCATTTCTTTTATATTAAATTCAGTCACCTGCAGATCGATGCAAGAAAATCCACGCTGGTGATGAAGTGATTCAAGTTAATCATCAGACTGTGGTATGTATAATTACATTAAGAGTCAGTGGGAGAAACTAATTTAAAGATTTACTAAAATCTTTCAAATGACATCAGTGAATTTAAAAGGTAGTGTTTTATAGAAGATAATTGAAGAACTTTCACAAGTAACTGAATAATTACTCTTCCAAATTGTTTGACAGAATGTAAGACATGGACTTTTGAAAAATGAGGAAATAGTTTTGCTACAAATTTGACATTTTCTAGCATAACATATTTTTTTTCATTTATATATACTTGTGAATTAGCTACTAGTTAAATTTAATGGTTATATATACATATATATTAATTTATCTGTTGTAACATTGACTTATTCATTGAAATGTAGAGGATTTGGGCATAATTCAAATGCACATTTTTGTAAAAATTATAATCCTCAATAGCTGACTTGGCTCTTGGCTTGCCAAGAGGAAATATAGTTTTAGGTCTAAAAATTTTATGCTAAATTAAATAAGTTCACAAAGATATCTTGCCCTGTGAGACTCACAAATCTACTCACAAAACTATGAATGCCAGTGGCATTTAATGTCTTTGATAGATGTGGTAGATTTTCAAAGATGTAGAAAATGAACAGTATTCATTTATGTATATTTTATATGCCTCAGATGGTTTTCTTTATTCCCCCTCTTTGGCAAGCATAAGGTCTGTTTCCAGAATTTGAAATTAAAATAATTTGATATTATCAATATAATAATCTTCATCTTTAAATGTTTGGGGATTTTAAAAATATTCTACATGTAGTTTTGTAACTTTAGGATAAGTAATTGTTTCCTGTTCTCACTGTTGTGCTCAAACTGCTTCCATATGTCCTAATGAGAGAAGAAAATTTAGGAAGACCTTTTCAAGGGGAAAGTTTAGAAAGGCTCCCAATGATCATGAAATTTAAAAATGTTTCTAAGTGGATAAAATTTTTTTAACAAGATGTATTGGTATGTGGCTGGTACTAAACAATAAAATGCTGATAATACACAAAGAACCCTATGACAGTTCTGATGACTAATAACTCACTATAAGAGGTATTGTTCAAAGTAATTGCTCTTTGGAAATTTCTGGACCAATAGTGTGAGAATTTGGACAAGGGTATGAAGCAACTATTGCAGGACATCGCTATTCATATTGCTTCCTTCTCTGCAAGAGGCTTTAACATAGACCTCTGTTGCATATTTTCCACATGAATTTGCACTTGATCAAATTAAAGTTGGAAGTTAGTCTCTACTGGAAAGGAAAATTGTTTAAAGAGTGCTCTTCATGGAACAGATCTGACATTCATTAAATGAATATCAAAGTCTAAAAGTTTACAGATGAACTAATAAAATCTGTACGAATTGGTGACATTTAAATTCTATGAGAATGTGCATACACATTTTCATAACAAGAATGGTTAATATTTTGAAAACTGCATAGAATAAGGATTGGGAAAACAGCTCTAGTTTTTGCTGTGAAGTTTAATTGGGACTTTAAATGACTAATGTTATCACAGAGTAGTTCGCCTTTTCTAGAAACATTAACTGTAACTGAAATTTCACTATGTAACTAAACAGATATTATGTCACATACTTTATATTTTTATTCTTTATATAAATCCCGTAGAAAATTTGTTGTACGTGGAAATAAGACTCATACAAGTATTTAATTCTTCAACATCTTGTAACTTTCTGACTCCATGCTCCTACTTCAATCTTATTGTACCCTTCTACTGTTCCACTTATAAAACTATCAAACAAAGGAGTAAGAATCCTAATAAGTTAATAATCATTTGAGTAAATCTCAAGATTCAATGTGACATTAAGTGGGTGAAGCATATTAGGAAGTAAAGAGGACAGAAAGTGAGAATTTACATAACTGGAGTAGAGAATCCATTTAACTTAAATTAGAATTAGGTTTGAAGCTCATCTTTACTACCGTTTCTCTCTGAGCTCATTTCCCTCGGATGACTTATATATGCAAATTTCCTACCACAAATGCTGGTACACATTAGGAACTCAATAACAGTTTACCTTCCTACCTCTCTTCTGTCCTTTTACCAAATACTGTCGTTGAACCACTTAGAATCTTGTTTCTTTATAGACTGCTATTAGAGCCAACAAATGGGTTTGGGATTAAAACAGAAACAGGAAGATACATCGAGTTTCATGAAAGTAGCTGTTTTTAATAATGTAATTAATCACCAGATTTTCTTCTTGATGCTCAAGTAAGAGGTATATTTGTGCATGGATTTTTCTTCATTTAATGTAAACTAGCCTTCCCTCTCTGTTTAACGTTGCCTGTGTTATGGTCTGGATAGTGTGTTAACATTATTCAAAACACAGAGTTTTCAAACTGCTAAAGCATGGGTAGGTAGATGAATCATTTGAAGCAAGTGTGAATATTTGTGGCCTGCAATTATTCCTTGCAGCCTCTCTAGTCATGAAAACGTAGAGTAGTGGTTGGCTATGATATTGAATTAAAAGTAGTATAATATACTTGAAATATATAAATATTATAAATTATTGAATCCATTAATTAATTCACCAGAGTGATGAAATATTATCAGAATTAGCCTATACCATTCCTGATTCAACAATTAGAAACGGTGATGCTAAATCTTATTATTTTCAATGACACTGTCTCAGTAGTTTTCTGTAATTTCAAAATCTTAGTATTGCAGTTAGTATTGTGCAATATAAAAACTTACTCATTCTCTTTATATTTCATTGAAAAAACAATTTTAAATATTCCCATGAGGGTTAATGAAAGATAAATGAATAACAGGAAGTTTTGAATGCTGTTATTTTGAATGGCTAGTATGTTCCATATAATCAATAGTAACTGACTTTCTTACGTCTCTTACCTCTTCATGTCCAATTAGATGTGTGTGATTCTCCTATGTTCTTTTATTTAAATTATATATATATATATATTTAATTACTTTAAGTGAAACTGGAAGTTACATGTCCATTTTCATGTTGCTGTATTCTTCATTATAAGCTTCTAATCTTTTCACATCAACATACTTCTGTGGCTGAGAAACTGCCAGATAGGAAGAAGAAAAAAAAATCATGACTATCCAAGCAAAGCAGAGTGCTTCCTATTGCATGTCTTCCCTGCCAGCGAAGATCAACTCCTCCAAGGCTGCTGAAAACACCCCAGATTCTGTCTGTCTGTCTGTCTTCCTCTCTCCCTCTCCCCACTCCCCTGCCACCTCCCTCTCTCCCTCCCTCAATCCCTGTTTCTCTCTCTCTGTGTCTGTCTGTCTGTCTCTCTCTCTGTCTGTCTCTCTCCCTCTCCCTCTCCTTCTTCTTCTCCCTCCCTCTCTCTCTCTCTCTCTCTCTCTCTCTCTCTCTCTCTCTCCCTCTCTCTCTCATCTTGCCCTTCCTGTCTCTCCTTCTCCTCCCATTCTAACTCCTTCTCCATCTTCCTACCACTTTGACATAGTTTGAACCAGCAACTGTGCCCTCATGATGGAGTTTAGGCATATTTTTGTTGATGATACTATAATTATTTTTAAAAATCTGGGCATATCCATAACAAATCTGCTAAATTACAGCTTAATTCTTTTTTTTTCGTGTGAGTGTTCTAAGTATAATCAAAGGAGACACTTTCTTATTAGATATATCATTTCAAAGAAGGGGATATATATGGTGATTGAATCTGGCATTTGGAAAAGCTCCTTCTATTTTGTGTTAGCATTAAAACATATCAATGTGATTGGGAAAACTTTTCTAGCACTTCTTGAAGATTTTGGCACACATGGTTCAATAGATTTGGTTATAAAAGCTACCTAAATGGAATAACCAGGTTGAGATGTTAAGAAGATAGACTGCATGAGTAGTATTGTTGATCACTGATTACTGAGAGATGGAAGAGAAACATTATGAGATAGTGTCCTTTTTACACTGAAGATGATAAACATTACTGAGAAAGACTTATAAGTCATAGCAAAGGGGACGAAGGGAAGAGAAAAGACTGAAGGACTATTGACTTACTTAGGAACTTCATTCTAATTTTGGCTTTGCCTCTCTAATTCTCAGTTAGCTTCTCATTTCTGACTGTGACTTCACCTTTTTGTTCTTAAATCCCAAAATAAGAAAACATTATTGAAAAGGAGAGAAGTCAACATAATCACAATATATTAAAGTTCATCTTCCTGTGTTCCCCTGTAACTCTAACCTCCTTCCTGGGTGATATCTAGTAGCATGTATATCATGATACTGTTTGACACTAAATGTGCTTTCTCCCCAGTTTTCTAAATAAATTCTGTCCTTATATTTTTTTCCTTCCTAATTCATTTATTTTCCTCTCCCCACTATATGTATCTCTTCTCAATTAACTATTTCTCCTCCATTCTTGCCTTGTTCAATTTTCTTTATCCTTCCCTATTCTATTTCCCCTTTTCAAGGGGGAAGTTATTTATTTTATAATCCCTTAAGCCCAAAATATTGAAAAGTGAGGCTTCAAATGGCAGTGTTTCTGGTATTTCTATTCATATAGTCACAAGATGTTACTAGACTATCCCAGTTCCCTCTCTCCACCAAACCCCCATCCCATCCCTCCATCTGCTCCCCAGGGAGGTTGAGGCCTTCCATGGGGATTCTTCAATGTCTGTCACATCATTAGGGACAGGGCCTAGGCCCTACTCCATGTGTCTAGGCTGAGAGAGTATACCTCTATGGTGGATGGGTTCTCAAAGTCAGTAAATGGGTCTTATAATAAAATACAAGAACAATATTGGGGTTCTCCAGAATTGGTATTCTAAAATAGAACATATAAAATACTATCTTTTAGAAAGGTAAAAAATATAAAAGACAGTAAAATTAAACAATGGATCACACATAGTAATGTTGTTATTTGTCTTATATAGTAGTTTATGACTTTATTTTATTATTTAAATTGAACTTCATCATTAAATTGTATGCAAACTGGTTTTAATGTATTACTTATTTGGCATAAATTGTATTATTTATTTTGCATAATCAACTCATTACATTATCATCCACCATAAT